AAAAAAATTAGGTTCCATCTTACTGTTGAGGGGGAGGGTGTTATTTGAATCACTAGAATATAAAAAAACCTCCGAAAGACATCCTTTCCAAAGTACAAAATCAATACAACTGATGTCGAACTGTTCTAAATTCTAAAAAGAGCACAGCGAAAGAGAATAGAAGCGAAGACTAAACGCGGGCTGCAGATATGTGCCGTATATTACATAATAAAACTTCTCATACATCAAATAACAAACTCGATTTTTAATTCTCTAAGTAAGCGTTTTCACATTTGTTTCCATCTAGTCATTACATGAGTTTCTAGTTAATATCGATACTCTACTGGTCTTTATCAAGATTCAAGCGAAAAGGCGATTTCAACTAGAATTAGCTATATTCGCTATCTTGATTGAAAAAGGAAAATTCATTTGTTTTGTTCGCAGCTCTAAGGCTTAGTATCGTTGGAGAAAGAAATCTGTACTAAAAAGCTAACAATCTTTGGTAATCGATTGATTTCATTCAAATTGAGATAAAGTTCATTAGTTCTTAAAATGTAATTACTTAAGTCCCCAGAACAGATGCTGATAACCAATCTCATAACCATGTAAAGTAGATATAAAAAAGAAGAAAATCAATAGCAATCACCCTTTACTTAACAAAATACTAGAGTATTTTCAGAAATCTGCTTTAATCGTATAAACTATTACCATTATGATACTGTGTAAGCTAATTTTCATTCTAAGCTTCCAAAACACACCTGAATTTCAGCAAGAAGTGCAGTCGGTTTCTTGCTAACTGGAGCCGAACCGGAACCCGAACTACCTCCAGAGCTTGGAGCGATCAGGGAAGGTGGAGGTGGAGGTGGTGGCGGCGGAGGAGGAGGCATTGTCGTCTCTGGGATTTCAGATTTAAAAAAGGTAAGAAAAGCTCTTGAAACAACACATGGGGCGAATCGGGAAATTACAACGCTAGAAGAAAAGAAGACAATTGCAGCAATTATGATTCACACGAGGTGCAGGTGAATCAGGTCGAGCAGGCCGGGTAACTCGGGCACGGGCAGACGCGTCAATCGCACGCGTATGAAAGCAGAAAACAAAATTTTCAAGATGTGAACTCATATACGTATGTATTTAGTTAGAGCAACGCAAAGAAAATACAATCGATGCATCCAACTTTTTTTGAAAAAAATGCGGGTATCATCTCGAATCACTTATTTAGACAGCTTAACTTTCAA